AACCAAGCCTGGCTTCTAATCTTGTTTTATCCATTTCTTCCTTTCCCCACGGGACTAACTCTTGAAGAACCTTCTTTTGTTTTGGTTGGTTGGTTGGTTTGGTTTGGTTGGTTTTTTTTGAAAAACCAGCCCCAGCCACTCTTGATTCATGTGCACAATTCTTATGTCTAGCAAACACTGTTTACCTTCAAACACCCACCACCCCTAGCTCTTACAATCTTTATGCCCCCCTTCTACAATGGTCCCATATATAGTAATCACTCCATAGTCAGATGAGTTCATTTTGAACATTTTCTCATATATTACATTTGATAATTTCAGTTACAAATTGTTACAAGACCCACTCATCCTAAATTCATTCATAATACTTTAGAAATATTAGTACAAAATAAATTTTAATTCTTGTGTTTCAGATATATTGTCAAGTTACATATTAATAGATTTACATTTTTCAAGATCTTAACTGTGGGGATTCCAAAATTTTCTCAGAGACTCTGACGGAAGGACAAAGGGAACTTTAGTTCTGTGTGCTTGTATGAATAGATTTGGCAAGGCCAGTCTGAGGCTGGAGTCAGTGCCTCAAAGTAGTCAGATTTTGGCATTTGGGGACCTGACTCTTTCCCCTAGGCTGTTGTTATCACTTGTAAGACAACTCTATCTGAGGTATCATGTGTTCCCTTTTCCAGCATTGTCTAACTTAACTTTCTGCTGACCTTGGGCATTTTTTACCTTGCAAATTATATATGAGATGCTATACTTCCTTTATTGTCACTTTGGTTTTTTTCTCCTTTTATATAAATAGAACCCTTTCTCATATAATATACCCTGATTACAATTTTCCTTCCCTCAACTACTCCCAGTTCCTCTTCACCTACTCGCCCACCTGGATCCACTCCTTTTTGCCTCTCCTTAGGAAAAACAGACTGCTAAGACTTAACAATGAAACATAACAACAAAACATAACAAAATAAAATATAAGATAAAACAAAAACTATCATATCAAAGTTGGACAAGATAAACCAATACAAGGAAAAGAGCTCAAGAAAAGGCACATGAATCAGAGACCCACTTGTTCACACACTCAATAGTCTCATAAAATTATTAGACTGAAAATAATATATACACAGAGGACCTGGTACAGACCCATGTAGGCCCTGTGCATGCTACTTCAGTCTCTGTGAATTCCTATGAGCCTTGCTCAGTTGATTCAGAGAGCTTTCTTTTCCTGGTGTCCTCCATCTCCTATGTCTCTTACATTCTTTCCACCTCCTCTTCTGGGTTCCCTGAGCACTGAGGGGAGGTATTCGATGGAGACATCCCATTTAGAGCTAAGTGTTCCAAGAATAATAGCTAAGTGAATTTTTTTTGGTTTCTCCTATTCTTTTTTTTTTTAACTTTTTAAATTTGAATTACAAACAAGATTGAATTAGTTGCATTCTCATAGACACTAATATATTGTTAATTAGGGGTGTTTTGTGATTGTGTGAAACAATGTAGAGACATAAGAAGAGAATGGTAAAAAATAGAGTTGGTGGATCTGTTTTTTATGTGAGATTGTGGGAATGTATTACTGAATAAACTGATTTTGAGATGGTTCACCCATTAAGGAAGGCAAACAAAAATGGTGATGAAATAAAGATGTACTAAACAGCTATTAATGAACTCTGTGTCCTGTGAAAAGGGGATGATTAAGTTAAGTATAAATAACTTGGGTAGCCAGGCCTCCTCTGGGGATTGTACTGAGTAAATTGATAGGAAGAACTAAACTGCTGAAAATTTTGTTTGGATGTTTCTTTCGTGACAGAGTTTCTCTGTGTAGCTTTGGAGCCTATCCTGACACTCGCCCTGGAGACCAGGCTGGCCTCGAACTTACAGGGATCCGCCTGCCTCTGCCTCCCGAGTGCTGGGATTAAAGGTGTATACCACCACCACCCAGGCTCCAAACAATTTTTAAAATTACATTATTTTGAAAAATCTCTTCTTTAATGAGCAAAATCAAATGGAAGTCACTGCAGTATGTGGCTCTAAAAAGTAGTTTTATGTAATATATCAGAGAAATTGTCATGATGGTCTAGGCCCAAGATTTCTATACAATTTTAAAAGGAAGATTGGCAACCATAGTAATTTGAAAATGTGCTTTTTAACAGAACTAAAACTATAAAGTAGTATTATATTTCTTTTATTAGGTTGAATTTTTGAGCACTAGATTATTTTAGAATTTTCTGTCCAAAATAAAAGCTCTTTATGGGAAATGTCCCACTTTGTGGATGTCAGTGTTGATGGAACATCTTTATTGAGTTTCTAAGGTTTTGACTTTGGATAAATATTCAAGAAAAATCAAATTGTTTTGCCCAGATATTTCTAAATAATAAACTTTAGCACAGTTGTGAAAGCAGACCTGGTGCATTCCTAACCAGTTCTTTCTAGCTAACACCTAAATATTTAACTTGTTATTAGGTCCCTTGTCCAATTATTTTGAGAGTTAAATGAGCCTATCTGAAACATGGAATGCTGTGGCTGTAAGGAAGCACTCGGTATACTGACAGCTATTATCCTTTTTCTCCAAGTCTCTGAGTGATTCGTGAGTGGCCTTTGTTTTCTTTATGTATACATGTGGTATGTGTACATGTGTGTTCATATGCATGCAGGTATGTTTGTGTTCCTGTACACATGTAGAGACCTGAGGTTGAAATTGGACGTCTTCCTCAATCACTGTCCACACTATTCATTGAGGCAGAGTTTCAGCTGAACCCAGAGACTAGTCTTTCTAGTGGTCTTGCCCCTGGGGTCCCCGGTCTCCACCTTTCAAATGCTGGAATTACAGGTTGGCCACTCTGGCCACATGACATTTACATGGGTTCTTGGAATCTGAACTCCAGTCCTCATGCTTGCACAGAAAGTGCTTTAACTGCTGAAGCATCTTCCCAGCCTGGGTGGCATTTATTTCAGTAATAGCGTTTTAAAATAGAGTTTAGGACAGAACTAGTTTTTTTTTTTTTTTTTTTCCTGAACTGAAACACTTGAGATCCCATTTGAGAAGTGAGAAAGAAAACTGCTAAACACCTACTCCATTGTGCAATCTCAGGAAGACTGACTCTCTAATTTGTTTCCTGCCCTAGTCCTTGTCTTCAGCAACTCAGCCTCAGCATGAAAATGTCTCTGTTCCTTTGGAGATAGTTGCTAAGCTAAGCGAACAGATCATCTCCAGGGTCTTTATTATGACTGGTTAACCAAAACCCTTGAGTAGAATATCTGAATACTGTTTTCATTTTATACCTTCATATTTCTAGATTCACAGTGAGTTA